TACGGTTTAAATGTTGGCTGGCAATAAAAAGAGGGAAAAACAAAGTGAATGTAACTCATGTACCTTTTCATTTTATATAACGCGTCCATTTTATTTTAATCCCAAGTTATTCAAAAACTTCTATATTATATTTATTTTTAAATATATATATATATATATAATTTAATTGAAAAAGAAACAAAACGTATGTGGTAAAATTTTAAGCATTTTGACTTATTTGTATTGGCATTATGTTCATCGCATGTGCATGTGCATGCTTTTTATTTTTATTTCATGTAAACAGATTAAGCAATTATCATAAAAGCTATATAAAAGAAACACAAGGTGTCATTCATACCAAGGTTTACTTAATCATACTTTTTATTAGATCCGTTTCAAAATTCCAATAAAATATTATTGTATGAAAGATGTCTTACTCTAACGCTTACTTCGGGTGTGAGTAAGAGAATAATTTTTCTTGAAAATTTATTAAATTATTTTATAGATTAACTTCAAAAAACTAAAAAATATAGTTTCGAGCACTGAGATTAGAGTTTGGTTTATTTTACACGAGCATACGAATAAAATAAAATTATGGTTCGAGTACATTAAAATTTGTCAACTCGACTATTCATTTTTAAATTAAATGTCAAACTATTAATTCCATTTTAATATTTAATTTTCTTAAAATCTAAATTTTATATTTCGAATATATTATCTAATTTTGAATAAAATATATTTTTTAAAATATCGGTTCTTGTTTACCAACTTTTTTAACTTCTAATGAAATTAGTTGTATTTTGAAATCTATTTCTTTGTTTAGTTTCATATAATTTTATAGTATTCAATTTTTGGGGCATTTTATTCAAAATATTATTTTATAAAAGGTGTATGTGAAATGTCTTATCATAAAATAAGTAGATAAATGTGTCGAGATGTTTTTGTTTCTTTTACAGATTTGTAGAATTGATGATGTCGCTGCCTTAAAAATGTATAAATCAATTATGTAGTATATATTTATTATGGAAAAGCTTTCAATATGTTGTAATTTCTTTTTCTCATTCGTACATTTTAAATTTAGTCAATCTACTTTTACTTTTAGGAAATTAGGTAATTGTTCCAATTGGAATGTGCGGTTTGATGTATTAAAGTTTACTTCCCTGTCCCTGTGCTAATATATATTCCATGTAATCAAGTTTGAACATTTTGATTTAACACAATCACTAAGTCGATTGAAAATTTTAAAGCAAACAACTGTGTGAATTATTTTTCACGTTCTTTTGTAGATGATTGAGTTTCAAAGTTTTTATGAGTACGAGATATACTATAGAATTAGAAATTAGTTATATGAAACTAAACAATTATGTATTAGGAAAATGTCAAGTAAAGTTTTTTAGAAGCTAAATATCATGCATGTTTACTGTTGTATTGGATCGTGTCTCGATCAGTTCTAAAACACTTTTTAAGTAATATTGATAAAAATACTTTTACTTAATTTGCATGATTCAAGTTTTTGAACAAAATAACCAAAAATTTATCCATCCGAGCTAGGTGTATATAAAAACACAAGCTAATCATAGAAAGTAAAGTCTAGCCATACGATTTTCACACGTTGGTTAAATTTGAAAAAGGTTTGGTTAAAAATTTTGGTTGGTTGTAGTTTGCCCAAACATCTCTATATATTTGAAAGTAAACAAAAGGAAAAACCATTCTACCTTCAAGTGAAAATAAAATAAAAGATATGGCAATAAATTTTATTGTTTTTTGTGCAGTGTCAATAATATTAAATTTATTCCTTGCAGCCATGCAAGCTCAAGCAGCTGCTCTTGATCTCGTAGCTAAGTTTGGCGCAAAGGCTAACTTGAATACAGATTTGAGTAAGGTAAGCGAAATTATAGCTCACTTTAATTCTCTAACGGTGAAAACATGTATAACTTCTTTATTAATCTATTTTGTTTTAGCCATTGTTGGATGCTTGGAAAGAAGCTTGTGGTTCAACAGCTCCAACAAAAATTTTGATTCCTAAAGGGACGTAATTGTTAAGTCAAGCAACACTGGAAGGTCCTTGCAAGGCTCCTATTAAGCTTCAACTTGAGGGCAATGTAAAAGCACCAGCTGATCCTAAAGCTTTCAAGGTGCCTAAATGGGTTAGCTTCCTTCATATTGAAAACTTCAAATTGTTCGGTGGAGGAGCTTTCGATGGACAAGGAACCACTTCTTATAAGAGAGAAGGTTACGAAAAACACGACTTCTGTAGCAACCTCCCCATCGTAAGGTTTCTTACCTTTCGCAAGAATTTGATATTTTTCTTAGTAGTTATAACTAATACATATTTTTTTTCTCGTGACTCTTTTAACTCCGAAATTAAACAGAATGTAAGGTTAGATTTTTTGACCAATGCAATGGTACAAGGTATAACTCTCAGAGATAGCAAACAGTTCCACGCTAATGTTTTGGGATGCAAAAACATTACTTTCGAACATGTCACTGTATCCGCACCTAAAGATAGCCCAAACACAGATGGGATTCACATCGGGAGATCAGATGAGGTTAAAATTATAGACACGGATATCAAAACTGGTGATGATTGTATTTCAATTGGGGATGGTGCCAAAAATCTAGACATCACGGGAGTAACTTGTGGACCTGGACATGGCATCCGTATCGGTAGTCTTGGAAAGTTTGCAAACGAAGAACCTGTTGAAGGAATTAAAGTGTCGAAGTGTACCTTGACTGATACTTCGAATGGTGTTAGAATCAAGACTTGGGCAGGTGAATTTCCTGGCACATCATCAGATATGCATTTTGAGGATATCACCGTGAAGAATGTTAGTTGTCCCGTCCTGATTGACCAGAAATACTGCCCATGGAATAAATGCAAAATGGATGTATGTACATACTTGTAAAGAACCCAATATAATGAAAAGAGTTAATCAATAAATCTGACAAGTACTTTGATCTTGCAGGCTGAATCGAATGTTAAACTAAGCAACATCAGCTTCAAGAACATTCATGGTATGGCTGCGCTTCTAGAAGTTGTCAAACTCGTTTGCAGTGGTATTTTTCCATGCGAAAATTTAGAACTTGCCGACATTGACATTACGTTTAGTGGACCGGATGGACCAGCAAAATCCAAAAGTAAAAATGTTAAACCAAAAGTTACTGGAAAACAAAATCTGGTTGCATGTTCTACCCCCGTACCAGCAAACCCTACCCCTACGTTTTAAATGTTGGCTGGCAATAAAAAGAGGGAAAAACAATGTGAATGTAACTCATGTACCTTTTCATTTTATATAACGCGTCCATTTCATTTTAATCCCAAGTTTAAACAGAAACTTCTATATTATATTCATGTTTAAATATATATATATATATATATATATATATATATATAATTTAATCGAAAAAGAAACAAAACGTATGTGGTAACATTTTAAGTATTTTGACTTATTTGTATTGGCATTATGTGCATCGCATGTGCATGTGCATGTACATGCTTTTTATTTTTATTTCACGTAAACAGATTAAGCAATTATCATCAAAGCTACATAAAAAAAGCACAAGGTGTCATTCATACCAAGGTTTACTTAATCATACTTTTTATTAGATCCGTTTCAAAATTCCAAGAAAATATTATTGTATGAAAGACGTCTTACTCTAATGCTTACTTCGGGTGTGAGTAAGAGAATAATTTTTCTTGAAAATTTATTAAATTATTTTAAAGATTAACTTCCAAAAACTAAAAAATATAGTTTCGAGCACTGAGATTGGAGTTTGGTTTATTTTACACGAGCATGCAAATAAAACAAAATTATGGTTCGATTACATTAAAATTTGTCAACTCGACTATTCATTTTTAAATTAAATGTCAAACTATTAATTCCATTTTTAATATTTATTTTTCTTAAAATCTAAATTTTATATTTTGAATATATTATCTAATTTTGAATAAAATATATTTTTAAAAATATCGGTTCTTGTTTACAAACTTTTTTAACTTCTAATGAAATTAGTTGTATTTTGACATCTATTTCTTTGTTTAGTTTCATAGAATTTTATAGTATTCAATTTTTGGGGCATTTTATTCAAAATATTATTTTATAAAAGTTGTATGTGAAATGTCTTATCATAAAATAAGTAGATAAATGAGTCGAGATGTTTTTGTTTCTTTTACAGATTTGTAGAATTGATGACGTCGCTGCCTTAAAAATATATAAATCAATTATGTAGTATATATTTATTATGGAAAAGCTTTCAATATGTTGTAATTTCTTTTTCTCATTCGTACATTTTAAATTTAGTCAATCTACTTTTACTTTTAGGAAATTAGGTAATTGTTCCAATTGGAATGTGCGGTTTGATGTATTAAAGTTTACTTCCCTGTCCCTGTGCTAATATATATTCCATGTAATCAAGTTTGAACATTTTGATTTAACACAATCACTAAGTCGATTGAAAATTTTAAAGCAAACAACTGTGTGAATTATTTTTCACGTTCTTTTGTAGATGATTGAGTTTCAAAGTTTTATGAGTACGAGATATACTATAGAATTAGAAATTAGTTATATGAAACTAAACAATTATGTATTAGGAAAATGTCAAGTAAAGTTTTTTAGAAGCTAAATATCATGCATGTTTACTGTTGTATTGGATCGTGTCTCGATCAGTTCTAAAACACTTTTTAAGTAATATTGATAAAAATACTTTTACTTAATTTGCATGATTCAAGTTTTTGAACAAAATAACCAAAAATTTATCCATCCGAGCTAGGTGTATATAAAAACACAAGCTAATCATAGAAAATAAAGTCTAGCCATACGATTTTCACATGTTGGTTAAATTTGAAAAAGGTTTGGTTAAAAATTTTGGTTGGTTGTAGTTTGCCCAAACATCTCTATATATTTGAAAGTAAACAAAAGGAAAAACCATTCTACCTTCAAGTGAAAAATAAAATAAAAGATATGGCAATAAAATTTTTTTTTTGTACAGTGTCTATAATATTAAATTTATTCCTTGCAGCCATGCAAGCTCAAGCAGCTGCTCTAGATCTCGTAGCTAAGTTTGGCGCAAAGGCTAACTTGAATACAGATTTGAGTAAGGTAAGCGAAATTATAGCTCACTTTAATTCTCTAACGGTGAAAACATGTATAACTTCTTTATTAATCTATTTTGTTTTAGCCATTGTTGGATGCTTGGAAAGAAGCTTGTGGTTCAACAGCTCCAACAAAAATTTTGATTCCTGAAGGGACATAATTGTTAAGTCAAGCAACACTGGAAGGTCCTTGCAAGGCTCCTATTAAGCTTCAACTTGAGGGCAATGTAAAAGCACCAGCTGATCCTAAAGCTTTCAAGGTGCCTAAATGGGTTAGCTTCCTTCATATTGAAAACTTCAAATTGTTCGGTGGAGGAGCTTTCGATGGACAAGGAACCACTTCTTATAAGAGAGAAGGTTGCGAAAAACACGACTTCTGTAGTAACCTCCCCATCGTAAGGTTTCTTACCTTTCGCAAGAATTTGATATTTTTCTTAGTAGTTATAACTAATACATATTTTTTTCTCGTGACTCTTTTAACTCCGAAATTAAACAGAATGTAAGGTTAGATTTTTTGACCAATGCAATGGTACAAGGTATAACTCTCAGAGATAGCAAACAGTTCCACGCTAATGTTTTGGGATGCAAAAACATTACTTTCGAACATGTCACTGTATCCGCACCTAAAGATAGCCCAAACACAGATGGGATTCACATCGGGAGATCAGATGGGGTTAAAATTATAGACACGGATATCAAAACTGGTGATGATTGTATTTCAATTGGGGATGGTGCCAAAAATCTAGACATCACGGGAGTAACTTGTGGACCTGGACATGGCATCAGTATCGGTAGTCTTGGAAAGTTTGCAAACGAAGAACCTGTTGAAGGAATTAAAGTGTCGAAGTGTACCTTGACTGATAATTCGAATGGTGTTAGAATCAAGGCTTGGGCAGGTGAATTTCCTAGCACAGCATCATATATGCATTTTGAGGATATCACCGTGAAGAATGTTAGTTGTCCCGTCCTGATTGACCAGAAATACTGCCCATGGAATAAATGAAAAATGGATGTATGTACAAACTTGTAAAGAACTCAATATAATGAAAAGAGTTAATCAATAATCTGACAAGTACTTTGATCTTGCAGACTGAATCGAATGTTAAACTAAGCAACATCAGCTTCAAGAACATTCATGGTACGGTTGCGCTTCCAGAAGTTGTCAAACTCGTTTGCAGTGGTATTTTTCCATGCGAAAATGTAGAACTTGTCGACATTGACATTACGTTTAGTGGACCGGATGGACCAGCAAAATCCAAATGTAAAAATGTTAAACCAAAAGTTACTGGAAAACAAAATCTGGTTGCATGTTCTACCCCCGTACCAGCAAACCCTACCCCTACGTTTTAAATGTTGGATGGCAATAAAAAGAGGGAAAAACAATGTGAATGTAACTTATATACCTTTTCATTTTATATAACGCGTCAATTTCATTTTAATCCCAAGTTTAAACAGAAACTTCTATATTATATTCATGTTTAAATAAATATATATATATATATATATATATATATATATATATATAATTTAATCGAAAAAGAAATAAAACATATGTGGTAACATTTTAAGCATTTTGACTTATTTGTAATGGCATTATGTGCATCACATGCGCATGTGCATGTACATGCTTTTTATTTTTATTTCACGTAAACAGATTAAGCAATTATCATCAAAGCTACATAAAAAAAGCACAAGGTTTCATTCATACCAAGGTTTACTTAATCATACTTTTTATTAGATCCGTTTCAAAATTCCAATAAAATATTATTGTAAGAAAGACGTCTTACTCTAACGCTTACTTCGGGTGTGAGTAAGAGAATAAATTTTCTTGAAAATTTATTAAATTATTTTAAAGATTAACTTCCAAAAACTAAAAAATATAGTTTCGAGCACTGAGATTGGAGTTTGGTTTATTTTACACGAGCATGCGAATAAAACAAAATTATGGTTCAATTACATTAAAATTTGTCAACTCGACTATTCATTTTTAAATTAAATGTCAAACTATTAATTCCATTTTTAATATTTATTTTTCTTAAAATCTAAATTTTATATTTTGAATATATTATCTAATTTTGAATAAAATATATTTTTAAAAATATCGGTTCTTGTTTACCAACGTTTTTAACTTCTAATGAAATTAGTTGTATTTTGACATCTATTTCTTTGTTTAGTTTCATAGAATTTTATAGTATTCAATTTTTGGGGCATTTTATTCAAAATATTATTTTATAAAAGTTGTATGTGAAATGTCTTATCATAAAATAAGTAGATAAATGTGTCGAGATGTTTTTGTTTCTTTTACAGATTTGTAGAATTGATGACGTTGCTGCCTTAAAAATGTATAAATCAATTATGTAGTATATATTTATTATGGAAAAGCTTTCAATATGTTGTAATTTCTTTTGCTCATTCGTACTTTTTAAATTTAGTCAATCTACTTTTACTTTTAGGAAATTAGGTAATTGTTCCAATTGGAATGTTCGGTTTGACGTATTAAAGTTTACTTCCCCGTCCCTGTGCTAATATCAATTCCATGTAATCAAGTTTGAACATTTTGATTTAACACAATCACTAAGTTGATTGAAAAGTTTAAAGCAAACAACTGTGTGAATTATTTTTCACGTTCTTTTGTAGAGGATTGCATTTCAAAGTTTTTATGAGTGCGAGATATACTTTAGAATTAGAAATTAGTTATATGAATACTAAACAATTATGTATTAGGAAAATTTCAAGTAAAATTTTTTAGAAGCTAAACATTATGAATGTTTATTGTTATATTGGATCGTGTCTCGATCTAGTCCCAAAACACTTTTTAAGTAACATTGATAAAAATACTTTTTACTTAATTTGCATGATTCAAATTTTTGAACAAACTAACCAAAAATTTATCCAGCCGAGCCAGGTGTATATAAAAACACAAGCTAATCATAGAAAGTAAAGTCTAGCCATACGATTTGCACACGTTGGTTAAATTTGAAAAAGGTTTGGTTGAAAATTTTTGTTGGTTGTAGTTTGCCCAAACATCTCTATATATTTGAAAGTAAACAAAATGAAAAGCCATTCTGCCTTCAAGTGAAAATAAAATAAAAGATATGGCAATAAATTTTATTGTTGTTTGTATAGTGTCTATAATATTAAATTTATTCCTTGTAGCCATGCAAGCTCAAGCAGCTGCTCTTGATATCGTAGCTAAGTTGCTTACTTGAATACAGATTTGAGTAAGGTAAGCGAAATTATAGCTCACTTTAATACTCTAACGGTGAAAACATGTATAACTTCTTTATTAATATATTTTGTTTTAGCCATTGTTGGATGCTTGGAAAGAAGCTTGTGGTTCAACAACTCCAACAATAATTTTGATTCCTGAAGGGACATATTTGTTAAGTCAAGCAACGCTAGAAGGTCCTTGCAAGGCTCCTACTGAGCTTCAACTTGAGGGCAATGTAAAAGCACCACCTGATCCTAAAGCTTTCAAGGAGCCTAAAAGGGTTAGCTTCCTTCATATTGAAAACTTCAAATTGTTCAGTGGAGGAGCTTTCGATAGACAAGGAACCACTTCTTATAAGAGAGAAGGTTGCGAAAAATACGACTTCTGTAGTAACCTCCCCATCATAAGGCTTCTTACCTTTCGCAAGAATTTGATATTTTTCTTAGTAGTTATAACTAATACATATTTTTTCTCGTGACTCTTTTAACTCCGAAATTAAAAAGAATGTAAGGTTTGATTTTTTGACCAATGCAATGGTACAAGGTATAACTCTCAGAGATAGAAAACAGTTCCACGCTAATGTTTTGGGATGCAAAACATTACTTTCGAACATGTCACTGTATCCGCACCTAAAGATAGCCCAAATACAGATGGGATTCACATCGGGAGATCAGATGGGGTTAAAATTATAGACACGGATATCAAAATTGGTGATGATTGTATTTCAATTGGGGATGGTGCCAAAAATCTAGACATCACGGGAGTAACTTTTGGACCTGGACATGGCATCAGTATCTGTAGTCTTGGAAAGTTTGCAAACGAAGAATCTATTGAAGGAATTAAAGTGTCGAAGTGTACCTTGACTGATACTTTGAATGGTGTTAGAATCAAGACTTGGGCAGGTGAATTTCCTGGCACAGCATCAGATATGCATTTTGAGGATATCACCGTGAAGAATGTTAGTTGTCCCGTCCTGATTGACCAGAAATACTGCCCATGGAATAAATGCAAAATGGTTGTATGTACATACTTGTAAAAACCCCAATATAATGAAAAGAGTTAATCAATAATCTGACAAGTACTTAGATCTTGCAGGATGAATCGAATGTTAAACTAAGTAACATCAGCTTCAAGAACATTCATGGTACGGTTGAGCTTCCAGAAGTTGTCAAACTCGTTTGCAGTAGTATTTTTCCATGCGAAAATGTAGAACTCGTCGACATTGACATTGCGTTTAGTGGACCGGATGGACCTGCAAAATCCGAATGTAAAAATGTTAAACCAAAAGTTATTGCAAAACAAAATCCGATTGCATGTTCTACCCCCGTACCAGCAAACCCTACCCATACGGTTTAAATGATGGCTGGCAATAAAAAAAGGGAAAAACAAAGTGAATGTAACTCATGTACCTTTTCATTTTATATAACGCGTCCATTTCATTTTAATCCAAAGTTATTCAGAAACTTCTATCTATATTCATTTATATATATATATATATATATATATATATAATTTAATCGAAAAAGAAACAAAACGTATGTGGTAACATTTTAAGCATTTTGACTTATATGTATTGGCATTATGTGCATCGCATGTGTATGTACATGCTATTTATTTTTATTTCACGTAAACAAATTAAGCAATTATCATCAAAGCTACATAAAAAAAACACAAGGTGTCATTCATACCAAGGTTTACTTAATCATACTTTTTATTAGATCCGTTTCAAAATTCCAATAAAATATTATTGTATGAAAGACGTTTTACTCTAACGCTTACTTCGGGTGTGAGTAAGAGAATAATTTTTCTTTAAAATTTATTAAATTATTTTAAAGTTGAACTTCCAAAAACTAAAAAATATAGTTTCGAGCACTGAGATTAGAGTTTGGTTTATTTTACAGTAGCATGCGAATAAAACAAAATTATGGTTAGAGTACATTAAAATTTGTCAACTCGACTATTCATTTTTAAATTTAATTTCAAACTATTAATTTCGTTTTTAATATTTAATATTTTTAAAATCTAAATCTCATGTTTCGAATATGTTATCTAATTTTGAATAAAATATGTTTTTTAAAATATCGGTTCGTGTTTACCAACTTTTTTAACTTCTAATGAAATTAGTTGTATGTTGACATCTATTTCTTTGTTTAGTTTCATAGAATTTTATAGTATTCAATTTTTGGGGCATTTTATTAAAAATATTATTTTATAAAAGTTGTATGTGAAATGTCTTATCATAAAATAAGTAGATAAATGTGTCGAGATGTTTTTGTTTCTTTTACAGATTTGTAGAATTGATGACGTCGTTGCCTTAAAAATGTATAAATTAATTATGTAGTATATATTTATTATGGAAAAGCTTTCAATATGTTGTAATTTCTTTTGCTCCTTCGTACATTTTAAATTTAGTCAATCTACTTTTACTTTTAGGAAATTAGGTAATTGTTCCAATTAGAATGTGCGGTTTGACGTATTAAAGTTTACTTCCCCGTCCCTGTGCTAATATCAATTCCATGTAATCAAGTTTGAACATTTTGATTTAACACAACCACTAAGTCGATTGAAAATTTTAAAGCAAACAACTGTGTGAATTATTTTTCACGTTCTTTTGTAGATGATTGAGTTTCAAAGTTTTTATGAGTACGAGATATACTTTAGAATTAGAAATTAGTTATATGAATACTAAACAATTATGTATTAGGAAAACGTCAGGTAAAGTTTTTTATAAGCTAAATATTATGCATGTTTACTATTGTATTGGATCGTGTCTCGATCTAGTCCCAAAACACTTTTTAAGTAATATTGATAAAAAAATACTTTTACTTAATTTGCATGATTCAAGTTTTTGAACAATCTAACCAAAAATATATCCAGCCGAGCCAGGTGTATAAAAAAACACAAGCTAATCATAGAAAGTAAAGTCTAGCCATACGATTTGCACACGATGGTTGAATTTGAAAAATGTTTGGTTGAAAATTTTGGTTGGTTGTAGTTTGCCCAAACATCTCTATATATTTGAAAGTAAACAAAAGGAAAAACCTTTCTACCTTCAAGTGAAAATAAAATAAAAGATATGGCAATAAATTTTATTGTTGTTTGTATAGTGTCTATAATATTAAATTCATTCCTTGCAGCCATGCAAGCTCAAGCAGCTGCTCTTGATGTCGTAGCTAAGTTTGGCGCAAAGGCTGACTTGAATACAAATTTGAGTAATGTAAGCGAAATTATAGCTCACTTTAATACTCTAATGGTGAAAACATGTATAACTTCTTTATTAATCTATTTTGTTTTAGCCATTGTTGGATGCTTGGAAAGAAGCTTGTGGTTCAACAACTCCAACAAGAATTTTTATTCCTGAAGGGACATATTTATTAAGTCAAGCAACGCTGGAAGGTCCTTGCAAGGCTCCTATTGAGCTTCAACTTGAGGGCAATGTAAAAGTATCAGATGATCCTAAAGCTTTCAATGAGCCTAAATGGGTTAGCTTTCTTCATATTGAAAACTTCAAATTGTTCGGTGGAGGAGCTTTCGATAGACAAGGAACCACTTCTTATAAGAAAGAAGGTTGCGAAAAACACGACTTCTGTAGTAACCTCCCCATCGTAAGGTTTCTTACCTTTCGCAAGAATTTGATATTTTTCTTAGTAGTTATAACTAATACATATTTTTTTCTCGTGACTCTTTTAACTCCGAAATTAAAAAAATGTAAGGTTTGATTTTTTGACCAATGCAATGGTACAAGGTATAACTCTCAGAGATAGCAAACAATTCCACGCTAATATTTTGGGATGCAAAAACATTACTTTCGAACATGTCACTGTATCCGCACCTAAAGATAGCCCAAACACAGATGGGATTCACATCGGGAGATCAGATAGGGTTAAAATTATAGACACAGATATCAAAATTGGTGATGATTGTATTTTAATTGGGGATGGTGCCAAAAATCTAGACATCACGGGAGTAACTTGTGGACCTGGACATGGCATCAGTATCGGTAGTCTTGGAAAGTTTGCAAATGAAGAACCTGTTGAACGAATTAAAGTGTCGAAGTGTACCTTGATTGATACTTCGAATGGTGTTAGAATCAAGACTTGGGCAGGTGAATTTCCTGGCACAGCATCAGATATGTATTTTGAGGATATCACCGTGAAGAATGTTAGTTATCCCGTCCTGATTGATCACAAATACTGCCCATGGAATAAATGCAAAATGGATGTATGTACATACTTGTAAAGAACCCAATATAATGAAAAGAGTTAATCAATAATCTGGCAAGTACTTTGATCGTGCAGGCTGAACCGAATGTAAAAATGTTAAACCAAAAGTTACTGGAAAACAAAATCGGGTTGCATGTTCTACCCCCGTACCAGCAAACCCTACCCCTACGGTTTAAATGTTGGCTGGCAACAAAAAGAGGGAAAACAAAGTGAATGTAACTCATGTACCTTTTCATTTTATAACGCGTCCATTTCATTTTAATCCAAAGTTATTCAGAAACTTCTATATTATATTCATTTTTAAATATATATATATATATAATTTAATCGGAAAAGAAACAAAACGTATGTGGTAACATTTTAAGCATTTTGACTTATTTGTATTGGCATTATGTGCATCGCATGTGCATGTACATGCTATTTAGTTTTATTTCACGTAAACAAATTAAGCAATTATAATCAAAGCTACATAAAAAAACACAAGGTGTCATTCATACCAAGGTTTACTTAATCATACTTTTTATTAGATCCGTTTCAAAATTCCAATAAAATATTATTGTAAGAAAGACGTCTTACTCTAACGCTTACTTCGGGTGTGAGTAAGAGAATAATTTTTCTTGAAAATTTATTAAATTATTTTAAAGATTAACTTCCAAAAACTAAAAAATATAGTTTCGAGCACTGAGATTAGAGTTTGGTTTATTTTACACGAGCATGCCAATAAAACAAAATTATGGTTCGAGTACATTAAAATTTGTCAACTCGACTATTCATTTTTAAATTAAATGTCAAACTATTAATTCCATTTTTTATATTTAATTTTCTTAAAATCTAAATCTTATATTTCGAATATATTATCTAATTTTGAATAAAATATATTTTTTAAAATATCGGTTCTTGTCTACCAACTTTTTTAACTTCTAATGGTAAGCGAAATTATAGCTCACTTTAATTCTCTAACGGTGAAAACATGTATAACTTCTTTATTAATCTATTTTGTTTTAGCCATTGTTGGATGCTTGGAAAGAAGCTTGTGGTTCAACAGCTCCAACAAAAATTTTGATTCCTAAAGGGACGTGTTAAGCAAGCAACTGGAAGGTCCTTGCAAGGCTCCTATTAAGCTTCAACTTGAGGGCAATGTAAAAGCACCAGCTGATCCTAAAGCTTTCAAGGTGCCTAAATGGGTTAGCTTCCTTCATATTGAAAACTTCAAATTGTTCGGTGGAGGAGCTTTCGATGGACAAGGAACCACTTC